TAAGCCAAAATCTGAAAAACATTTTTTTTAATTTTCTGCAAACACTCCCTAAGTGTTTCTAGTGTAATAAAAAAGTGAAAAGCATTTTAAAGCACCCTTCCACTTGCTTCCAGCTTTTAGCTTTTTAGTGCTTAACTTAAACAGATGTTGTCATTTGAAAACACTCATTTCAGCTTTTTTAAGACAAAAGCTGAAAAACACTTATTTTAATCTTTAACAAACACTCCCTAAGGATGTTTTTATTTAGACTGAAATTTTTTGGTTTTTTATGGTCTGCCTGGTCTGAAAGAGGCCTAATCTCTATGTATTTTATAATTATCGAAGTTTGCTCTGATCAGAGCTGTTAATGTTTGACTTTGTGTGGTATGTTCAAGTCTAGGCTTGCCTAATCTAATACTACCTCCCTCCCGGAAACAAGTTCCCGGGTTGACTTTCACACATTTTAAAGAAATAAAGTTATTGAGGGGTAAATTTACTGTTTTGACACTGTTTCGACACTGTTTGGCACTGCTTGACACTGTTTTGATGTAGATAATTTACCAAATAAGGAAATCAGAAGTTTATTTTGGGGCATCCAAATAAGAAAAGTGGGAACTTGTTTCCGGGATGAGGGGAGTATGTCTGATATTTGACTGAAATAAGTCCTAGTAAAAACATTGTAAGTGAGATCGTCTCTTAAAAATTATTGTGTTAGTGTTACACTTAAGCGCAACATACTCTAAAAAATCACTCATGTCTTTGGAGTGCTTTTAAGATGTTTTTAATTGAATAACAATTTCCTGATCTAGTATAGTTTGATAAAGATCCCTTTTTATATGTAATTACACTTCTTTAAATTTAAGCTGACATATTTATATCCAATATGGTATAAGATTGAAATCATATCGCTTTTTTTAACCCCAAAAAGGCAAATCACCAAAATCGGTGGGGTAAATGCCAGGGGACACTTACCATGTTTTATTAATAATAATCAAAGATACAGAGAAGAGGGTGCTATACCAAGGAAGGCATTCCTTCCTAAAAAAAACATGTGAAGAAGAAAGCTAAAAGGAATTTTTGGGGGGACTAGATGCGACCCAAAAAAATACAGTTGAAACAATTAGTAAGTAATTCTAAGCGAAGGAAGTCCGAAAAGATCCATATAGTAGGCGTTTTTAGCACGGGCCGGCAATTCTTCAGGCTGGGAATTAAAATCATATCGCTATTTCTTTTGAGCTTTTCAAGTCATAATCTGATATCCTTCGGTCGCAAGATCTCATTATATTCAGAAGTGTTTCGTAATATATTATCTAAATCATACTTATTGCAAAACAAAATCATTAAATGATCAATTTTAGAATCACTACACCGGGCCTGATGCCCGAACCGCCAGTTAGATTGGGCGAGCTCCGGGACTTGATAATCGTGAACCGGCCTGGCCTAGGGTGGGCCCAATCTGGGCTGCCTGGTTGCTCCTATCCGTTGCCAACGGCTATAGAGCCATTGGAGGGAGGGGGTAAAAAAAACTATAAATACACATATTTTCTAAATATTGTCCTGCACCTATTCTCCAATTCTTCCTACTCTCTATTCATCGTCTTCATTTTCTCCAGTTCTCTCTACATCTGATAATATATATCATATCTATTTAATTACTTATATTATATATGCTTATTTTCCACTTAAATACTTATTATCTACTTAATATCTACTTATTATCTACTTATATTTACATATATTATATCTACTATTCTACTTATTATCCACTTAAATACTTATTATATACTTATTATCTACTTATATTTACACATATTATATCTACTTATATATTAAGTATATATATATATAGAGAGAGAGAGAGAGAGAGTAGTAGTCTTCATGTCAGGTCAGCCTGACGGGATACTCCGTCCAGCCGAGGGCATTTCGGGAACTTCCTGGTGGAATTTTTTGATGAAGTTTTTTTATCATGTTCTTCATGAAGTCTAGTTTATCCATACCAAATTTCAGCTAAAAGTTAAATCGGTGAGGCATTAAAATAATTTCTTGAAGTTAACTGGGCAGTTTATATGTATGAACTGCCCAGTTAACTTCAAGAAATTATTTGAGTGTCTGCCCGATTGAATGTTTAGCTGAAATTTGGTATGGATAAACTAGACTTCATAAAGAACATTCTCAAAAACTTTCATCAAAAAATTCCACCGGGAAGTGCCCGAAATGCCCTCGGCCGGACAGAGCATCCTGTCAGGCCGGCTTGACATGAAGATTTGTCTGTATGTGTGTGTGTGTGTGTGTGTGTGTGTATATTAAAGTATTAATTATAAGTGTAATACTCATCTTATAGTAGTATACTTATATATTATATATACTATAAACACTATATTATATATTAGTTAGTTAAAGTATAATTTATATTTTATATATTCCTTAATATTAGTTAAATTTATCCTTTTACTTACACACTCACAGTCTCATTGATTATTATTATTATTATTATTATTATTATTATTATTATTATTATTATTATTATTATTATTATACATTCTTGCATTTATCCTATTAGCTACACATGTCATTAATATTATTAGTTAAACTTTCTCATTTTCTCATTTAATTAGTTACAATTAAATATTTGTTACATTCTCATCTCTTAGACATTAATACTAATCTTATTAACCTTAAAGAATGGAAGGAAACGACAAGCAAGATGTGGTGGGCAACTTGCTACCATTGTAACAAAAGAATTTGCTTGGGAATTTCGCATGGATATGGAGCCGCGGATAAACATTTGAAGGCAAAACACCTAGTCATGGACTTGGGTCGGGCCGCCCAGGTAGCCCGACCCAGACCGGTCCCGGTATATAACCGGATCGGTACCAAGACTCAATATCCCAGACCCGGAACCCGATCTGACCCGACCCAGAACCCAGCCCACCCTTAGGTGGAATTAATACAAAACTCGTAGGACCAAAAGTGGAATTAATTCTATATGAAATTTGGTAATAAATGAGTCAATGAAGATCGAAAGAAGAGATATGTATCTATCCTTTTATGGTTAGGATTTCGTAAAATATTATACTTGGACTAGAATTTGATGTTTTAGTCTTATCTCTTTATGTCTGATCAGGTTTGAACTGAGTTTGATAATGTCTGGTCTTTATATATTTTGTAACTATGAAATTATGGTCTGATATATTTAAATTTAATCTGATATGGTTTGGGAATGAAGAAAAAACATCCTTACTAAACTCAAGGAGAAAAAGAGAAAAAATCACATTTTATGTGCGTGTACATAATTACACCGACTTTTGGATGGTGCACGCTTCGTTTATCCAAACCCAAAGAGCTTTCACAAGCACACTTAGGGATGGCAATTGTGACTGATCCGATAGATACCCGAACCGAAGCGCTCCGGTCAAAACGGGAAAAACCGCATTTGACCGGATAACGGGTATGGGGCGGAGAATACCCGTTTTGTTTTTACGGGTAACGGGGCGGTTACGGTTTTATACATGCCCGCCCTATTACCCGCCCCGTATCCGCCCCGTTTATTTTTAGTTATATTTTTATTACATTTGTTTTTATTATTTGTCTCATAACTACTAAATGATGATATTTTTCTATTTTCATTGTGTATACATCAGGCCTGGACTCGGGCCGGGCGGCTCGGCCCGGCCACTGTAGCAACCGGCCCGGCCCGGTGGCCCGGTCCACCGGCGGTTCGGGTCGAACCGGCCCGGTGGTTCCCGGTTCCGGGCCCGGGCCTTCCATATGGTGAACCGGCCCGGCCGGTTCGGGCCCGGTCCGGGCCAGATTTTATTTTTTTTTTTTTTTTTTGAAAAATTTTTTAAGTCTTGGGTTGGAATAGGTATTTCGGGCCATTTGAGGTGGTTTGGGGTGGTTTGGGGTTGAGGGGGAGGGGTAGGGGATTAAATAGGAGAACCAAAAAAAAAAAATTGGACCGGTTTGACCCGGCCCGGCCCGGCCCGGTTTGGCCCGGAACCGGCCACTGGCGGTTCGGGCTCGGGCCTCCCCTTTCCTGGCCCGAGGCCCGGCCGGGCCCAAGCCCGAACCGGCCCGAGTCCAGCACTAGTATACATGGATAATAGATGTATTAACTATAATGTATGAATTCAGTAAAAAAACTATAATGAATTAATGAAAGTTCATAATAGATTTTAATAGTCTTGTTTAGTTACTATCAGATTTTTTCGCAATTAATTATATCTGAGATTAAGTATTTTTAGATTCAAATTAATTTAGATTGTCTTCTTTCTCGTCTTGTAGCCATACGAAATTTCAAAGTGACATCTGAACCTAAAGTCGTCAAGGCAATACCATTTTTTGCCTTTTAAAATACTACTCCGTATTTTATTATATTAAAATATCAATGACTCATTTAATAAAACAATTACCCGCGGTTACCCGCGATTATACCCGTTACCCGTTGGGGCGGTTATGGTTTGAGAAAAAATTACACGTTGGGTAACGGGGCGGTTAAGGGGCGGGGGAATTACTCAACGGGGCGGGTACAATTATATGTCAAACCGTCCCCGTACAATTATATGCTGCACACTGCATAGTCTTGGACTCGGGCCCGGGCCGGGCCGGACCTCGGGTCAATTTTTTTCCCTTTTCCTAATTAACCCCCAACCCCCCAAACCACCCCAAATGGCCCAAAATGCCCAACCCGAAAAGTTAAAAAAAATTGAAAAAAAAAAATAAAAAGCCCGGAACCGAGCCCGAACCTGCCGGGCCAGTTCGGCTTTTGGCCCCGGAAGCGTAGACCAAAAAAGTTTTGGGTCACCCGAGCCTGCACCGGGAACCCCCCGGGCCGGGCCTACCCGGACCGGTCACCGGGAACCCCCCGAGCCAGGCCTACCCGGACCGGTCACTGGCCTGGCCACCGGACCGGGCCGGGCCGGTTCAGCACAGTACAGTTCTGGGTCGGACACCCGGCCCGAGTCCAGGACCAACACTGCATAGTAGACCAGAAACTTCATAGAGAGAGACAGAGGCATCACGTTTATTTCTTGGTTCATCATTTCGTACACAAATTTAAACCAACCAGGCATTGATTTATTATCATCCCATGTTTTTATTTGGATTTTAACTCATGTTTACACAACTAAAGTCCCGAAATATATTACAATAAAGAGGTAGTTTTTTATTTATTTTTTGTTAAATATAGAAGCATAGATCAACTAAGAGTTGAAGTGTGTGGTCCCCAATGTTCGGGCCCTTTCATCCACTCTTATGGCATCATCCTTTCGTCCACTCATCTTGTAGCCTCGTTCCTGCACGGGGACAGAAGAAGGGCTGGGACTTGTGCTGAAAACATAAAAAGGTGACACAAAAAAAGTTCTTTACCAGAAGGTGCCACAAGGAAACAACTCCTTCCCTTTTCTTTAGTTGCTTCTCAATCGCTTCTATTGCTGCAAAATGCCAATTTAGACTACAAACTTGGGGACTAAAACCTTCAGCTGAATGTGGGTGGGTGCCTGGGTGGGTGGGTGGGTGGGTGGGGGTATGTACCTCTTTTAGATTGTCCATTGTTCAGCAATAGAATGATCCAAAGTTCATTAAAAACGTCAACTTGTTCATCGGACGCACCAATTATCTACAGCCAATTTGTATAACTTGGTCACTACCATATGAGACATATGAAGATAATACCAAAACTATATGAAGGAACATCTTTACACACACCTTATAATTAACCGCATCAAATTCGGGTTCAAGCAAATCTAATGCTCCTTTGCTGTCACCCTTTCCATATACAAAGAGAGCTTCTGCGAGCTGTATTTTTTTCCAAAGATTAATACTCCATATTTCTTATAACCGCAACCAAAATTTTCTGGTTTGGTATGATCTATTTAGATCAGGTCTAGTATGGTCTCATATTATGTGTAGCTAACTATTTTTATGTATGGTCTTTGAGACTGAAACCAGTTCAAGTGGAAAAAATCATAACACTAGCAAGAAAATATAAAATAAAAAAACTTACAAATTTGTGTGGATTCACCCTTGCAATTATAACATTTGTTTTTAGAAATTTAGGTCCTGTTATTTTTTTTTTTAATCCTTGTAACTAGGTCTTTTTCTTTTATAACATCTCTTTAAACCTTCAACTTTTAAAAACTAAAACCCTTTATCTTTAGTTAGTCCTAACTCGTGTAATAGTCGCAGTTCTCGGTCCAACTCACTAGTTGTCAACTCACTCTCTCATACGGGAGGTCCTGAATTTGAAACTCCATGGAAGGCGCTTCAGCCCTATTTATCCCGGGGGGCCCAACCTCCCCCGGGTAAAAAAAGGTAGCAGATCAATCATTAGAAAGTTCGAGTGATGTGGACAAAAATATGAAGTATTTTCAGTTATTGATGCTGAAACATCATACTGGAATTCTGCAAGCTATAAAAGCTGTTTATGGAGGTCGACTGAGAGGGACGAAAAAGAAAATTACAAGAAAATATATATAAGAGAAAACTGCAGGGATCTGAAACAAAAAAAAACATCATATTTGCATGAACACACCACATATTTAGCCCTTATAAATTTCAAACTAAGATGCCAAGAGAAAATGACGAAAATCCGATAAGTATTTGCAGGAACAAACCTGCATTGCTCTCTGCATTAGTCCTTTCTTTTTGTTGCTCATTTTGGACAGTCTACAAGTAAATAATAACTATTTTTTTTAGTTGGAACCACATAAACTGAAGATTAGCATGAAAATGTTAGTAAAACATTTCAAACCTGGACTTCAGACCATCAAGTAAATCCTCTGCCTTAGATACTTCTCCAGTGCAAGCTAAGACCCAAAGTGTCAACACATCAAGGTGCCATTCAAGATGCCAAAACCTCTAACATTTAGTTGGGGCACATAAATGCAAAAATATAGTTGGTCAGACAGAGACGAACTTATTAAGAAAAAATCAACACAACAAGAAGTTGATTCCTTAACCATTAAACAGTAGTTATCATTCCTCATATTCAAAGAACCTTTTTTACTTGGGTTTGCGGCAATAAGATGAATAAGATCTCCCTGCTTTTGGTTTTCCACTTCTATTTATTCCACATTGAATAATTTACCAAAAGTGGCAACAATGAAAGTTGGGCCAAAGCCCAAAAGTATGGCTCATATAATATCATTGGCACCAACATCAACAACATCTAAGCCTTAATCCCAAAAGATTTTGGGGTTGGCTAACATGAACCGATCCATGATATTAGAGCCAAACGGAGAAGAAAGATAAGAAAAACTTAAAGATAAGGTAAGATAAAATGGATAAGATCACAAGATAAAAACAACATAAGAAAGATAAAAGATAATTCCTAGAGATTATCTACAATCAAACTAGCAACCAATTGTGAAATCAAACAGATTGAAACTTAATTGCCTCCTAAAGTTAATATTCCTAAAGATGTGTATTTCTCATTGCACAAATTTCATCAAGAAGCCAAAATTACATGTTTATGTTTCATCATTACTTTATCCGTAAGGCGATCCGCTAATATCTTTAAGCGGTCATCAAAGACATCAATAGCACCACGAAGATAAACCCTTAGTAATAAAGCAGCTGCATTCAAGTAAACCTGTGTACACACACAATAGATAGAAAGAGTAGAAGTGAATATATGAGAATAAGCCATTTTATGGTTCAAAAGAGGGAGGAGAAGGGAGGGGAATAAAAGGAAGGGGTTTAAAGAAAATTATGTATGTCCAATGAAGAAGAGAGAAGGACTAGCATTTTGGAAAAAAAATGTATAAACATTTTAACTGATATAACTTCTATTGTGATTAAAAATATATTAATCTACATGTATAAGTGTATAAAAATAATAATAATGTGGAATAAATTTGGTAAACACACAGTGACAAAGTTAAAAATAATGCCCTAACTGTGGAGTCAGTTAAGAGGAGTTAAGAACATTTTTATAGATCCTCCACTTTCTTTTACCTCCCCCCAACCAAACAAAAACAACTCTTTTGCTGTATTCCTTTCCCTCCCAGAATTAATGAACCAAATGGAAGGCGAAAAGACTATCAAGTGGGAGCTTTGCTATATATACTTCTCCAGGCATAGCATCACTTCTTTCCAACTCTTTCCAAATATGGAGGTCATACACTTCGCGAACTCTTTCCATGGAAGAATGACCTTCCAAATAACAAACAGCAACATGCCACCAATTATGTGTATACCTGATTAAGAACATCTTTGATAAGAGGTTAAATAATCAATTAATGTGTATATAGGATATATGATATCTTATTTGTGGTAAAAAATTGTAAATAGTATGCATACATAAAAGATGACAAAGTAATCCATGAACTTGAGCATTGCTCCATTAATTGCACTGCTTCCTTAAAATGACAATGGTACTGATAAACGTGGCATAACTGCAATTAAAGTTCACTATTCAGCTGAACAAGTTTGAAAGGTGAGAGGATAACCACTGAGCATTACCTAAATGCAGTTTGTTCAAACAAAAGAGTGACCACTTAGCAATTGAATAAGTAAAAGTGTAAAACATCAAAGTGACTAAACTGTCCTCCCACATTTTTCACATTTGAGTAACTTTTAGTGTAGAAATGAATACACTAATGTTTCTGTTTATGAACAAATTAATTAGGGAAATACCATTAAGTTTGTGGTATTTCTCAAAATAATCCTCTCATATGCACGTTTTTACTATGAAGGTTACCTCAGGGAACTAATTGATTTTTTCAATTTTTTAGCAACCCTCTAATTATTTGAGAAGCATGAATACATCATTTCAAGAAATATCACAAACCTGAGGGTGGATCTGAAAACTCCCAATTAATTAACACCTTGGAACCAACTTATTTGAGAAATGAGAGTGCAGTTTGCCTAGAAAATAATGTTCAATTTTTAATTTTTAACCTTAGAACCAAAACTTGTCCTTAAAGGACACTTAATTGAGAAGTGAGAGTCCAGTGACTACAAAATAATGTTCGTGATTTCAATTTAATCCAAAAATAACTTATACTCTAAAAATTAATCATTTCGCCCATCCTTTCAACTTTTTTACTTGGTGGGTCTTAACTAGTTTTATTGTAAACAAAATTGCATCACTTTCATTATTTTTTTAAAAGTGTGTCAGGATGTGGACTAAGCCAACCCTTCAAGATTTTTGAATGATCAACAATAATAGGTTATCATGTTACATTTCAATTACCCTTATTTTTTTAAGAGACCTTGTATTTATGTAGACTCAATTCCCTAAATAGGACTAAAAAGTGGCAAAATTGCACAAATAGGACTACATTTCTTAAATTCCCTTAATATGACTATTTATGTGTGTTTGGACAAATATACCATTGTAGCTTGTGAAATGTTTTAATTAATAATAAAATCATAAAAAATAATAAAAATCGTAAAAAAATAATAGAAAATTAATAATAAAAAATTTTAAAAAAATTAAAAAAAAAAATAAAAAATTAAAAAAATAAAAAAAATCATAAAATTTAAAAAAAAAAAAAAACATTACCACCCCTGCCACCACCAGCTCCCATCACCGGAGAAAAATATGCCAACATTTTAAATAATGCCATAATGATGGCATATTCAATGAAAATGTTGGCATATTGAAGAGTAATTATGCCATCTTTTTGGTATTTTCAGAAAAAGATGACATTTTTTTACCAAAAGTGGAAGAAATTTCACCAATCGGAGGTGCTGGTGCTATGAGGCGGCGGGAGGCAGTGGGAAAGGTATCCATAATTTTTTTCATTTTTTATGGGTTTTTACTATATTTTTTTTTTTTAAATTAAAAAAAATAAAAAATTAATTTTTTTTATTTTATAATTTTTTATAATTTTTTTACGTTTTTAAAATATTTTTTACATTTTTTTATGATTATATTATGAATTAAAGCATTTCATTATGAATTAATACTCTTAGGGGTATTTAGGGTAGAAAATCAATGTTTAGTCCTATTTAGGGAATTTAAAAAATAGTAGTCCTATTTGTGCTTTTTAGGAACTCATTAGTCCTATTTAGGACAATTTCTGTATTTATTACAATACTCCAACCGTCCCAGTTTCAACTTCCCCTTGGATTTCGGAACGGAGTTTTAGGAAAGCAAACTTTATGTTACTTTTCCTCTAATACTCTTAAACGATAGGTGGTTGTACGTTAGTAAAGTAAGGGTATAGTAATATTTCTGTATGTAATTTAAATCCATGTTGGGAATGAGACAACCAAATGAGGCGAACAAAGCATGAAAATAGGACAATAAAATTGGGACTGAGAGAATATACTAAACCGTCGCCTCCAAAACTTTCCATCCAAACTGACCTTTGAATGGTCCTAGAAAAACAGGAATATAAATCAGAACAGGGGGATGGGGGTAAAGTAACTAACAGCATGTTGAGTCCAAGTATCTTCACTGTTGATCTCAAATCCCTTCTTTGCAGCTTTCTCGGCATCATCATATAGACCAAGTTCTAATAATGGAAATGCAAGCATTCCATATATGTAATTTTCTTCTTTATTTTCTGGAAGGACCTGCTGGTGTGTTGGGTATAAACCAAATAAGATAAGTGATGCTACTCTTAAAGTCTATTTATATCTTGGAGATTTTTAGTGGGGGGAAGCTGAAAATAAACTTCAGAAATTTGTTTTAACTCATCTATCTAAATATATTTCTATAACATAAATACTAAGAAAGCTAAATATACTTATATTACATTAAAAAATCAAATTTTGTTTCATTCGTATCTCAAGGTAAAAAAAAATCCATTTTCCCCTATAATTTTCTGAAATCCAAACATAGCCTTAATGGAGAACTTCTTGAAACACATATATGGAATTCAAACTGTGTATATTTTAATATCAAAGAAATGGACCTTCTGAACAAGTTCTAAAGAAAGGTCAGGCCTTGCCATATAAAAGCAGAGCACTTGAGCCCGCTTTAGTGATGCCAGATCTTTTGGAAAATCTCTTAGCAACTGCAGGTGCACACAGTTAAAGTGGGGGGTCAAAATACGCGATGATGTCCAGAACAAAGAATTAAAAATGCAAATGAAACATCAGCCACCATGTTGATTCTCTTGGTTAAGAAAACATTCAGTCTATCAAACTTTAATCTGACTAAAAATGGCAAATAGTGCTACATGTCATCACCTACAACATTTCTACATCATAAGATATCCTCTGCATGCATGACCATTACCTACTACTAGCCATCCTATACTAAGAAAACAAATACAAACCAGTTTAATAAACAAGAGTAATAGTGTACATATAATTTCAAATAAAAAAAATTGCATTTCAACGAAACTAGGTAATTGTTCATGAAATTGTGGTTTAAAAAAACTGCGAGTTGCAAGCCCTGAGGTGTGCCTCAGTGCGGAACAGTGGGTTTTCACCTTGAGGATAAAGCCTTTCTGCCGGGAGTGTAAACGTATGCTTTAACCCCTTGAGGCGACACTTCTGAGATGTAGCCTCATGAGGCGCCTGAGGCACACGCCTTATGTCGTGAAATTCTCTTTTCATTTTTTCTGAAAGCGGCTGCAGATTGTTTTTTGGGCTGATTTAATTTATCGAAAAGCTTGTGTTCTTCTGTGCAAGTATATTTAGGCTTCCATTATTTAAGAATTCAAATATATGTGTATTAGCTTCCTTTTCGAGTTTACCACGGGGCAATTTATAATGATATAATCCAAGGAACCCCTAAAAGACCAAAAGGTAAATCAAACTCCAGACCAATGACTAGCCTGAAAAGAAACAGCAAAAGCATACGTAGTAGGCCTTATATTTTAAGCAAACGCAAAAGTGAAAAGTGCAAAACTACCTGAGAATGTAACTCAAGGGCCAAGTCATCGTCTCTGTTTGGCAAAACCAAACAATTGACAGCCTGGAAAACAGACCGCTCATACAAGCTAGCATTCTCCTAACATACATAGAAGACGCATGTCTTAAATGAATATTAAGAAGCAAAAAGAAACTAAACATGCAAGAAGTATACACCGTACAAGATTAGACTTGGCAGCTTCGATGAGCGGCGGTGCAAGAGAAGGGTCCCTAGAGCAAAGGTAGTGTGCAGCTAATATGTTACCTAAAACGCAACACGGGTCGTGCTTAGGAGCTTCCAAAATCACCCATCTCTCTCTTCCGTAACTGATGACCTAAGTTCCAGCACCACTTGAAGATCATCAATAAAAAAGAAGTAAAAGAATAAAAAGAAAACTTTCTTAACTCAGTAATCAGAATACAAAATGGAGAACAAATATTTGCACAAGGACTGGAGCTTTTTCACTTCACTTCCAAAAATAAAATAGAAATGAAAAAAAAACTGGGGAGGGATAAGAACCTGGTGATTATAGGAGTTGATAGCAGCAAGACAGGAACCCGAATTGGTCTTGATTTCATAGCCCCATTTGTCTAATTTCAATCCCTCATCCAACATACCTTTCTGTGTTATTGTGATTTAGGGATCCCTTGTGATTTATGAGTAAAAAAAGAACTAGAATTGTGACTAGTGATTAAAGGATAAGGAGGAAACACGAGATGACGATAATCCCCTAAAATAGAACGTGTTCTACTCACTTCTACATAGGGCACAGTGAGGATAAAGTACCGTATACAGTATACAGCTAGAAGTCTATCTACCGTGAATGCCCAAGATCATTGAAACATACTACAGATGTTAAGAAAAACAATATTATTATCAAATGAATTTAGGAATACATGATTCTAAATAGTAAAAATTCTCTTATTATCACAAGCATATTGCGGTACCAATCATATTATATTTCGTATTTGTTATGACTTTGGCATTTACTCGTAAGATTTTTTCAGGGCACTACTACTATTAAAATGTAAATGTAAAGTTAGTTAGGAACTGAAGACAATTCAAGTTGATTATAATTATCATAGGAGGGTAAAGTTTGATCATCAATTAGTTCATAATAACAAACATTTATATATGTATGTTCTTTCAAATAGAAACCAATAACACTAACTTTGGTAACTAAAATACACAATGTTAATGAGCATAATAAGATTAGTGGAATTGAGTTAGAAATTAAGTTAATAGTTGCAATGTCATCTTAGTATTATTGTAGACTAATGTAAAATACTACTTCGTACTTCGTATTTGATTGGATATGAGAAAAAAATCTTATGTTCTTATCAAATCCAAAAGTAAGGGCATATTTGAAGAAAGATAAGTTACGCACAAACATCTATTAACTTAATATGTTGACATTGTTTGAAGAGGATACGTTCATATGTGTATAGTGAGAGCAAAGTAGTGAATACACGGGACAAACTTTTCACGCACATTTAACTACCTTTTAGATTTAATTTAAACCTGAAATTTTGTGTTCATCATGTAGACTTCATAGAGGACATGTTCATAAGTTTTTATAAAAAAAATTCCTCACGGAAACACCTCAAACAATTTCACCCAAAAAATATTAGTTTGGGCCCTAGGCCCCCTGCCTCCCTCGGGACACCACGGTTGATAGTTATATCGTTGTGATGGCTAAACCAATTTGACCTCCCATATGCAGGCATGCAGCACACTTAGTTCAAAAGTATAAGCATTTTGTTCAGCCCAAAACAATATGTAGTACTTCTTACTACCTCCGTCCCACTAATATTAGGATAGAAGGGGTTGACACAATTATTAAGGAAAATGAGTTTGTGTGATTGATATTGATTGATAAAGTAAGAATAAAGTAAGAATGATTTATAACTGCACAAAATTTATCAAATTTGGTATGTGACAATTTTAGTGGGATTTTCAGAAAAGGTAAAATGAGACAATATCAACGGGAAGAAGTGGGTATACTTTTAATAAAACTACATACTACTTACGTTTTCCATAAATAGAAGGATCAAAAGTACAATAATATGATAGTATTATGTTTAATAATGACACATGCTTTTTATTAGGCTTAATAAAAGCAAGCTACGTTCTAGGATAATTTCTACACCAACAAAATATAGTTTTCCTTTTAATTTGGATGCTTTTTTAAATTGCTCTATTGCCCTTTTGTCTGGAGAGAAAATATAAATAAACACGAGCAAGGAGAATCTTAAAACTTAAAATAAAAGAAAAAGATAATTTCTACACCAACAAAATATTTTTTTCCTTTTAATTTGGATGCTTTTTTAAATTGCTCTATTGCCCTTTTGTCTGGAGATAAAAATATAAATAAACATGGGCAAGGAAATTCTTAAAATTTAAAACAAACAAAAAAATGGAGGGTCACCAAAACCAACTGTTAGTTAGTAAACGGAAGTAATTAATGTAGAATATGGTGCTCTTTGTGTTGAAACGGAAGTAAGTTAACTTCTGGAATATAATTTTAGATTAGAAAAAAATATGCATGAAGTACAAGTGTTTAAAGCCCAAAGAGACACCAACATTTTTTACATTTCCATTATACCCCTAACATTATTCATGCTTATAGAGTTGTAGAGATGTAGAGATATAATGTGATTGACAAAGTTAAAAGAGGTATTAGACTTATTTCGAGTGATACTCAAATTAAACTGGAATGGCGTGCTGATTTGAAATTCAAATGTGTTAAGTATTATGCTTTTTTTTAAAAAGATCTATTCATTAGAGTAGTACTTATAAATTAATTAATGTGCTTCTTGGATTTAAGGACAATTTTTCTGCCTTTTTGAAGAAAAAATGTAAGTATATTTTAAAAACGGTTGCGATAAACATGGAGAAAATTTGTCACATGTTAGTTTATTTTAATAACGTTATTCTATCTTTTTCTCACGTTTATACTTTATACACCTACTAGTAGCATACGTAGTATTTTTTTTATTAAAGCTGTTAATCTCGTTGGTGCTTTCTAAGAAGTTTCCCAAGTCATTTATGTTCATTATTTTTGTGATTACATAAAGAATTTTTTTTTAAAATATTATGCCCACCTTCCGTCTATATATGTTATTGCTTTCATTCTTCATCCTTGTTTTAGACTTGCTACTTATAAAACACTTTTAGAGTATTATTATACTTCATTCTACGGTGAGTTTCCTATGTACGACGACAACGCTATAGATCCTCAAGCACAATTCAACGAGGTTAGTGATCTATTTAACAATTTATTTAATGAGTTACATGCACAACATGCTACTTCATCTAAAGGAAAAAGTTTTTTTAATCTATAATATCTAATCTTGACGCTGTACAAAGCTCGATTGACAAGATTTCTTTATATCTAACGTTTCCTAATGAGTATCAAGAATGATAAGAACTTGACATTCTCCAATGGTGGAAGGGGAAACAAGGAATGTTCCTCATTTTATCAAAAATGACGAAACAAGTGATGTCAATGTTGAATTCAACTATTGTCGTGGAACAAAAGTTAAGTAAAATCGACAACCTCCTAACTGACTATAGAACGAGCAATCTCTTGAGACACTAATTTGCTTCCACGATTGGTTGAAGGCCTATCATAGAACTTAAGAAACTAATATAGCACTGGGCCGCCACTTCATGAAGGAAACTACAACTGACACTAAAGGGACTTCCCACGATTAAGAAAAGTATTAAATTGTTCTCAATTATAATTTATAAATGCCTCTAATACTCTAAGTCAATTTTACTAAATATAAAAAGAAAATCAAAATCGCCTAAACCGGGCTGGGACCGGGTCCAACCTTAGCCATAGCACGAAGAGAAGCCAGCCAGGTTCGGATTGATTGGTCGAGAACTATGAGTTCAGTAGACCTGCACAAAAGCGGGCTCAGGCCGGGCTTGGGGCCGGGCTTTTCATAAGTTTTCTACCCATCATGTGTGGGCGGGCCCGGCCCGCAAAAACGGGTCTAACCCCATGTCCATACCCGCCCGTAAGAGCAGGCCGGGTAGTCCACCGGGCCGCCCGGCCCGGGAAAACTTTAAATTTTTTCAAAATTATTTAAAAAATTATTTAATACTTTATAAATAATATTACAACATTTAAAAAATTGCCAATACGCTTATAATGAGAAACTGTATTTAAAATTTAAAATTCAAGCACAAAGTATTATCTTTAAGTACAAAAATAGATAAGGAGTATTTTATTGGTTGGACTATTTGTTAAGAACTAAAAACTTAAATTTAAACATAATAAACTATAAATATGTATACATATAAATTAGTAAATATAAATATACATGTGTACATGTATATAAATACATAAATTAGTATATATTAAAATATATATGTATATATACTAAATGTAGCGGGCCGGGCTTATCGGCCCGAACGGGCCTACACCCTAACCCAAGCCCGCCCATATGTTGTTGCGGGTCGGGCTCGGGCCGGACCGGTGGGTAAATATATATGCTCAAGCCCGCAGCGCCCGCAAATTTGTGCAGGCGGGCTGGGCGGGCAGGCTCGGGTTTTGTAGAGGTCTAGAGTTCAGCTTCTCTCTTCATCTCATCTGTTTCACGTACTAATTAAATGCTAATCACTATTAATAATAATTGTTGAGGTTTATTCCTTCAACCCTTGGACCCAACACGTAAGCCCAAAGATTTCGAGTGGAGTGAGTGTGTGGTTATCTAGCCCGACAACTATCAGATGAATCAGGAAACAAGAGTAATAGCAGGCAATGTAAATAGATATTATTAACTTCGTAATAACTCCCCTAAGTACAATCTACTTGCTAAAAAGGGCACGTCGGCCGTTCGTCTTACAAGGCGATAGGAATGCTACTCGTAAGAATGCTGGAGCTAGTATGCTAAGAATAGAAAGTTGCCAACCCTTTACAATGAAATAAATGCTTCTATTTATACCCGCCAATGGGCAGGTGGCTGTACTGACGTGGCAGCCTGTGGACCGCTGGTGTCCCAACTACCAAATCTTTAGCATTAAATGCACTTCCCGCCAGAATCTAGGTTTCCCGCCGGATCAGTGGGGACGTTCGTCCACCCCGGAAGTGAGTTGGATTGCTCCAAGTGACCCTTGAGGGATATCGGCTGTTCGTCGCCTGGCCTTGGACTGGGTTTTCCCCGATGACCACAGGCTTGCTCCGGGGACGTTCGTCGCCATCCCCGCTGGCCCGTGGTTCTGCTCTTTGTCTCTGCACAGACGTTCGTCGGAATGAGCTGCTGGGCCCGAGTCCTCCAACACCAGACGTTCGTCCATCCTCAAGAGACATGGGCCTGTGGGCTGGCCTGGTTTCTAGCTGGACGTTCGTCTGGCAAAATGGGTTAGTGGGCCGGACCTCGGCTTGGGCCCTTAACCCAACACAAGTCCCCCACTTCTGATGTTCTGAGGATGCGCAGGACATAAGGAAGTATGAACCCCCCCGAAGTAGACGTCCGTATCTTGATACTTATGTTTATTGCATCTGGTGGAAGCGTACGCTCGTGGTCATGGTGCTTGACAGCTGTCGCCGGTTCAGGAAACGAGGTGACGGCTGATGTTGCGGCGGTGCATTTTCCCGAGGAGGTGTCATCATTACGTTCCCATCCCACGCACAGCGCGTGGCCGGGGTACGCTCCTTGCCACGTGTCGGCCCCTTGTTGGCTTCGCCATCGGTGTTTTCTCCTTTAAATACCGGGTTTCCCCTCTGAATTAGGGTTCCCAATTTCTGCCCTCTTGCTCCTGATTTTCCGCAGCTCTT